CTAATTGCCCCCATTTGATCAGTTCAAGCTGTGGTTTCAGGCCCTCCCTTGTTCGCTCCTCAGCCTCATTTATCAGTGGAGACACACACAAAGACAGTCAATGCCTCAAGGTGAATCCCTTCAAATGGCTCCGTTTGTGTTACCTTGTTAAATCAATAAGGTTAGTGACGAGCAGCAGTGGAAATCTCAACGGGCTGGAGACGTTTGCATTATCTGCCTTATAAGTTTGAAGTGTTTGGAGATTCAAACTGTTGTCAGCAAGAAGTGGCTGCAGTCAGTTTTAAATGTTGAAACTTGTGTAAATGATTTTAATCCTCTGGTTCATTCTCTTATGTGTTTATTTGATTATTTAATAGCTTATAGAATCAGAAGTGACTTTTGTCATTTTATGATGGAATTGCTTTGAGGCCTTTTCACGTCATATTTTTTATCAAATAAGAACTATTTTTGAGTTTTTGATGTTTTTATTGTGTTATAATGCTGCCTTTCTAACAGATTTTCTTGATACTTTACACGTTATTTTATTAATAACACACACATTTATATAAAGGTCTCATTAAAGCACAAATAAAACAATTACTCTTAGCATCATGTTAAAATGACCGAAGATGTTTAAACTAATTAGACGACACCTGCAAGCTAATCCAGACAGACAATTCAAGCTGTGCTGCTGCTTCACACATGATCTACCTCCTTTCAAATTTGGGTGGTCTATTTAAGCTGCAAAATGTTCATTCTCATTCTGTCCTGCTGCTATTACCTGTCTGCACTCTGCACACATGCTTGCGTCTTCTCAGCCCCTCCACCATCCCAACATCTGCCTGTGGTCTCTGATGTTGATGGTGCTCTCATCTCTTTTTATGACATACTAAGAATTGTCTTTGGGATCTGATAAATGTAAGTTTAAGCATTAAGCGTTCAAACGTTGTTTGACTGAAAACTGTTGCTCAACAACAGTACAGGAAGTTGCATCTTCCCAAAGCTTTTCTTCTGTCTATTTTAAATTAATTTAACACATTCTAATCAAACTATCTGATCGAGTAAACACCAATGTGGCTGAGGAACTGTGAATGTAAACAAAGGTGTTGTACATGTTTGGTTCTGACATCGAAACTCAAAGTGCTCAGTTGTATTTTCAAGGTTTACATTTTCAGCTTTATCACTGAATGACACAAGTATATTTTCTCAGTAACAAGGATTTATTATTTAGAATATTTTCACAACAGACCTTGTGAAGTGTCATAGTTTCAGACGCACTAATTTTACTAATAAAACTGAGATGTTCCGGTGAGCTAATGATTCTTGACAACATGAAAGCATCACTATGAAAGTTAGCCAACAGGAACATTATGTGAAAATGAAACATCTGCTTTAAATTTATTATTTACCTCTGTATCTTATAGTCTGTGAAATGCCAAAGTCTGGGAAAAAAAACAAACTAAAAAGGTATTCTTTTTTTTTAAATAATCAAATCTCCTCTATCTAAACACGCAAACCTGCTTGAGGGGAGGGGCTATAACAGACTGTGTGCAGGATGTGTGGAGTCCTTCATGATGCGGAGCACTCTCCCCCTGCATCGTGAACCGTAGAGGTCCGAGGTGATGGGAAGGCTGCTCCCTACAGTCTTCTGTGCAGCCTTAACCACCCTCTGCAGAGCCATCTTCTCAGCAGCAGTGCAGCTGCCGTGTCACAAAGCGATGCAGGTGCAGAGAACGCTCTCCAACACACAGCGATAGAAGCTCCTCAGGACAGAGCTCCCAAGTCCAGCTCTCTGCAGCTTCCTTTTTAAGGAGGTAGAGACGCTGGTGGGCCTTCTTAACCAGACAGGAAGTATTGACTCTCTGGATGAGGTCAGGCATATATGCACCCCCAGGCACTTGGAGCAGGAGACCACCTCCACATCTGCTCCTCTGATGTGTAGGGATTGAAGAGGATCCTTGTCCTTTCTGAAATCCACCACCACGTTCAAGCCCAGACTGCGTCAGGAAGGGCATCCAGCATTAAACAATTGGCAAATTGCTTGTGCATGTTTTTTTTGTTTTGTTTTGTTTTTTTTTGTGGAATTTTTTGACGAGTGGGTCAGACAAAACTAACTAAATAACTAAATAAATAAATGCAAGTGTGTGACACTAATACTGAAGATAGTATACTTAAAATGATATAAAAAGCTTTTGTCATGCAGTAAAAACATACCAATAGAGAAATTGCATTTACAGTAAAAAGGCAATAGAGTGCTGAATGACTTCGCTAAAATATGTTGAAACATAATTTTTTTTAAAATAAACACTAAAATTACTAAAACATTAGGTAAGATCTAAAAATAATAAATAAATAATTGAAGGTAAAATTAGCAATCAGTTCTTCTCATATTAAGCTCATCGTAGCTCCATTTCCAAAAGTTTCTTAGAGGTTCATCCATCCATCCATTATCTTTTAAACGCTTCTTTCATTTTGGGTCACGGGGGTCGCTGGTGCCCATGTCCGGCAATTATTGTGCGAGGGGCGGGGTACAGCCGGGACAGGTCGCAAGTCCATCACAGGGACACATAGAGACAAACAAGACAAACAAACATTCACTCTCTCACCTAGGTATAATTTAGAGTTACCAATCAGCCTAACGTGCATGTTTTTGGTCTGTGGGAGGGAACTGGAGTACCCGGAGAAAACTCACGTATGCACATAGAGAACATGCAAACTCCACCCAGAAAGGCCCCCAGACCGGGATTTGAACCAGGGGCCTGCACGCTGAGAGGCAGCAGCTCTGCCAGTTGCGCCACTGTGCTGCCTTCTGAGAGGTTCATGTAAAATATTTGCTTGAATTGTCTTGAAATTATGTTTTTTTTCCACCACATTAGTTACCCTACCTGGTTACTCTGATTGAGTACACACACCATCTGTACAGTATTAACATTTGCATTAGACTGGAGAGTTCTTCATCTCAGGTGTACAACACCAAGTCTGTAGAGTTTTTTTTTTCTTCTTTTTTTTCTTGCAATAACGAAATATAGCACCATATTGGTTCATATTACCATTTGGTTGCATCATGCATACTTGCTGTGGGGTTATTTGATAATATCTACATTTAAGGTTCTGTCCATAGCTGTGGGATTTTCATCGACTTTGTTATCAGGCAAATGTCAAACCAAAGCAGAGCCATAAAACAGTTTAGTTTGTTGAAGCAGCTGTTGGAATCGCACAAATGAAAAGTCAATATGAAAATGGCAAACCTATCCAAACGCAGGAAAATATGTCATAAATAAATGACAGATGGGAAACACAATTTTTGGATTCACGCAATCTGCTAAATAAGTGTTTGTAAGCTGTCAATCTCAGGCAGTTATGTGCTGCGTCATTACATTTCTAAACTCATTAGAACATAAGCCACTTCAATTCACCATCCGCTGCAGATATTTTTTATTTATGTAGGCAAATTAAACGGGCAAAACACATTCTATGAGTCTTTTTAGTCGTGTATTTTATTGTACATACAGTACACACACTAAAGATGTCAGCTTGTAAACATTTTTATCTTTTACATCATCTTGGAACTTTTTTCAGACCTTAACCCCACAGAGAATATTTAAGAACAAGTGTCACAGCCCAACAAAATATTGGAGGGTTTGGCTTTTTTTTTTTTTTTTTTTACCTGGGAGAATTTTAACTGCTTTTAATATTAAATTATTTTTGTGTTTTTTTTAGAATATTTAGGTTTTGTCTTTTGTTTGACAAAAAATAATAATTTGGAGTTTCAAGTATATTTTTCCTGGACAAGGTAGATTTTTTTTTAATATATATATTTTTTATTCTCATTATTAAGTTTGAAACAAGTAAATCTTGTGTTTATGTTTCTGACTGAAAGGCAGTCATTTGAACACATGAAGATTTACTGACAATATTTTGTTAAATTAAGAGCAGCAGAACTCAGGAATGACTTCACTTGGCCTAATTTATTGTTTTTAATTGTCTTTTTCCCTTCCCTTCACTTCAGTAAAAGTTTAGGTCACACTTTGTAACTAAGTTTTATTAAAAACCAATCACGAGCATTTAGCTCTGCATAAACCGGTGGCTCCCAACCCTGGTCCTTGAAGAACGCCATCCTGCATGTTTTAGTTGTTTCCCTGCTCCAACACACCTGATTCAGGGATTTTATTACTTAGAACATGCAGGGTGGTGTTCGTCAAGGACCAAATTTGGGAACCATTGGAACTGATCATGTAAAAAGCAATGTGTTAAAAATAAATTGATCATTTCTAAACCTTATGTATATCAGCTAAAGAATAACAGCACATATATAGATCTCAGTCATCCAATAACTTTTATTAGGTTGTGAAATATTATTGAAAGCCACTAAAGACACAAAAGCAAACTTTTTGAATTTAAAATTATTATGAACACCTAAAAGCTGTTGAACAAATCATTGGTAAATAATCAGAATAGCTAAAACTGTATTATTAAATTACTTGTCACATGTTTGGATTTGTGTTGAAATGATTATCATCAGGTGATGAACCAGTTCTGACTGACCGGCATCATCATGCTGGTGAACAGGACCTTTGCCTCCATGTTTTAGACATTGATCGATATCATTCCCACAGAAGCAATCTGGGCCTACAAGAACTAGGTCACAAACTACCTGTAGGTAAATCATTTATAAAGTTGTGCCTCTCTCTGGTCTAAAGCCAGGTTAGAATTCTCTCACTGCTCTGCTGATCAGATTGAGGAGTGCTGCTGATGGTGACGGATGCTTCATGCATTCACTTTCCTTGTATTTTATGGACGTGTTTGCACCTTTCCAATCTATTTTCATGGACAAGTCCTACAAAGGTTTTGTGTAACGCATCATCTGTGGTGTCTGGTTAACATTAAATAACCTCATAAATCAAATTATTTTAGAACCTCTGGTGTTATTTTAAATAGTTTTTGTTCTATTTCATTTCTGTGCTTGTTATCAAAGCTATAAAATTAACAGATATACAAATTGTGGTCTCTGTCCCCCTCAGCTTGCCATCCAGGCTTCTATAAGGCATATGCTGGAAACCTCAAGTGTTCAAAGTGCCCTCCACACAGTTTCAGCTACGGTGAAGGAGCTTCAATCTGCCGCTGTGAAAAGGGCTTCTTCAGAGCCGTGAAAGATCCTCCAACTATGGCCTGCACACGTAAGTCCACCCCTCAATAAAATCTGCCTTGATATATAATTCCAGATCCTACGAGCTTTTGCAAACACAACAACTTAACTTATTTTATTAACTTTTCAGACAGTCTCCTTTTGCTGCAAGCATTTATTTACGAGAATAAAAATGAAAACAGAAAAAAAAAGTTCTACTCCATGGATTTACAAAGGAGAACTTGCAGTGGTATCACAGAGATAGAAATAGTTATTTTGTGTTTTGAGCTGATTAAAATTTAATTAATTTGGTGTCAATTCATAATAAATCTTTCGATACTTGTGTGTGCCTGACAGTCTTGGTAAGTTATTAGTTTGTCTGCAGAGCTGGTGGATCTCTAGAATTCACAGTGGTCGTAAATTCAGTCTCGTCTTTGGGACTTATCTGGTGTGAAAGTGAACATTAGAGAGTCTCTGGATGAATTACATGGCTTTTGTTCAGCTGCCTTGTCTTCATCGATGATTCACCGACTGTCATTACGACTTCATATTTGCATTAAATTACAGTTTAACCGGACTAATTCTCCTTTAATTAAAAAGCCATTTAGCTGTCACTGAGATAGACGGGGCCACATCTGAAAGCTCTCCAGGGTGGAAGAATGTGTTTGTCTTTTATGGTAAGACAAAGCCAAGCCATTGTTTAGATGCTTTTAGTTTACAGTACGCTTCAGGTATGTTTTTTTTAACAGAGGAAATCTTCAAAAACCTTTTCAGTTTTTACTAAATGCTTTTCCCATAAAATTCAGACTCCGTCGAGAAGCTTGTACTCTGATGTACTTGCAATTAAACATGCAAGTTAAAACTCAATTACCTGAGTGCTTACCCTTTAGACGGGCAACAGTTTTGCCCATGTAAGCTTTGGAAGTGTAGACGTTTTTAATGTTTTTCTTTTGTTTGTAGATTTCCATGCATGTGCGGTACACTAGTTGGCAAAAAATACTGACTCTGAAAGCTCAAGTCCTTGGACAGTCATATTTATTTCAACTCTGAGATACATTTAAGGCATTAAAGAAGCGTTTCTGTTTATACTGTGAAAAGTACAGGGATTCCATCTCAGGGTGAATAATCGTGTGCCTTAAGAAGGATGGATTTATTATCAGAGCCAGCTGCAACTGTAAAATTTGTTAAATAAGTCAGATTTATTTGTGAATAAAAATCTCTGATGATGCTGTTTCTGTTCATTAAAGTTCATGCTCAATAATCCAGGTAAAAATCCAACAATGTTCAGTCAGGTCATCTGGACGGTTTATGCTTTTGCTGAGATGTTCCATCCTTCATCCAAAGGACTTCATCAGTCCAAGGAGCCACGAACACACTGAGTCCTCACAAGCAGCACACTCCCATAGTGAAAAAAAAAAAGTTTGCTAGTGATAAAATAGTTTCTGGGGTTTGTTTTAGTTTGTTCGTGGCTTCTCAGACTAATGAAGTCCTTTGGATGAAGGACGAAACATCTCAGCAAAAAAGAAACCATCCAGATGACCTGACTGAACATTGTTGGATTTTTACTTGGATTACTGAGCATGGACTTTGATATTTTGAACCACTTTGGCACGGTTGCCTCAGAGGAGTTGACGGGGGAGAGGGCGGGCCCGTGAAACCATCTTATCACCAGCAAACTGTTTTTTTTCCCACTATGGGAGTGTGCTGCTTGTGGGGTTCAGTTTGTTTGTGGCTCCTTGGACTGATTAAGTCCTTTGGATGAAGGACAAAATGTCTCAGCAAATAAAGAAACTGTCCAGATGACCTGACTGAACATTGTGGTTTCTGTTCATTTCGCTTGACGCTCCGGTACAGGGTGGGAGGCAGCCATGGGTTTGACTGCCTTTTAATCAGCACTTTTGTATTACGGACCCCTTATTGATCAGGTTAACACTAAACATAAACAGAATGGTTAAAACATATAGTAGCTTTAGTAAAATGCAAGCTACACATTCAAGATGCAATATTCTTTATTTGTCATTCGCACCACATGTGGTACATGTGGGTAGAACGAAATTGTGTACACAGGGTCCCAGTTACATCCAACAAAAGTATTAAAATGTAAAAGACAACGGTAGTAAGATCTAAGATATGAACTCAGAAAAACTCTGATAAAGATACACTAAGCACTAGCAGCACAAAAACAATACGCCAAACAGCAGCACGAACACGAGTCTGTGTGAGCAGATGAGTACGAATGAACACAGCAACATGAAACAGATCAGCAGCAACATTTGATGTGATTTTTTCACAGTGATTGTCCTGGTTAGATATTCATGAGTTTAACAGCTTCAGGGTATAAGCCGTTCCTCAGTCTAGTGGTTCTACACTTAATGCTCCTTAACCTCCTTCTTGAGGGGAACGGAGCAAAAAGTGTGTGTGCTGGGTGAGTGGGGTCCTTCATGATGCAGGTGGTCCTCTTCCTGCATCTGGAGATGACTGTGATGGTGGGGAGGCTGACTCCATCAGTTACTTGATGTTTTTTGAGACACATTGATGTCTCTGAGCCACATGTTCAAATACACTCGTGCACAACAACTTGTTGGTATTTTTATTGTTTTGTTTCATTTATGTAAATTTACGTATGTTTCATGCTCAGCTTTAGTGCAACATTGGTCTTTTGTCAACCAGTGGGAAACTGAAGCAGCAAGGTGTGCTAGTAATGTGGCGCTACACTGGGATACTGTATATAAACTAATAGTTTTTATGCAATGTTTTGAAGCAGAATCTTAACTGTAATTGTGTTTGTTTTTAAAATCTGGGTTTATGATTTACAAGGCTGGAAGCATTAGAATGAATTATCATTTAAGTTTAACATGTGTATTCTAAACATGTCTGTAATTCTAAATTAAGATTTAGAGAGCATTTAAGTACAATCTGAATGAGTGGACCACAATGATCACTTGTGGGAACTTCAGAGCTGGCTTAGTGTGGAAACTTGTAATGAAGTGTGTGTTTATGCTGTTGGTTTGTTTTCTGGCACAAACAAACTTGAAATCTTCTAGTCTACTTTAGCTCCCAGTACAAACCGAGAGTGAAAAGTCGTGTGGGGTTTGAGACAACTATGCAAACTGAAAGTTCAGTGCTGTAGCACATTTAGGTTTCCAAGTGTTGAGCACTATGTTTGCTCACATAATGCTTTTTAATTAGACGGTAGAAGATGGTACATAAAGTTATTTGCTTGATGTTGTAGTCGACAGTAAAAAAAACAACAAAAAAAACAGTGGAGATTAAAGAGTGAGAGTAAGACAAAGGTAGAGAGGATAAAAGAGAATGTGTCACGGGAGGAGAGATAAAGGTGGAGGGAAGGTGTAAGGGCTGGATGGAGTAGACAGTGTGAAGAGGGGAAGAATGGAGGGTGCTGATCCTATCTCCCCCCAGAGGAGAATGGGGGCTGATTGATGGCAGTGGGGTTGCTCTGCAAGATGGTAGGTGGGTGGATTCTCCTCGACAGAGAGAATAGAAGAGGTGAGATAATGGCCGATAGAGGCTGAGGGAAATAAAGGGAGAGAATGGACACACTGACAGAGGTGGTGGAGCAGTAGGAGGGGCTCACCTGTCTGCTGAGATTTTTAGCAATGGTAGGGAGAGAACGAAAGGGAGGGCTGGTGGAGGAGAGGGAAACATCCCATTGTCCTGGCAGACAGTGAGCTTGGCAGGACGGGAGTGTTCAAATCCCTCAGGCCTTTTAACTCCACCCTGTTGACAGCTGGCTGCCTGCTACAGCACAATGCTTACCCTGACACACAAACATGCACATCCAAGGGGCACAAAAATACCACAACAAAGCAATACGCAAGCAGGTAAAAGAGCTTGAACAGTTTACTGTAGCAGAGGGGAGTATACGGAGTTATACATGCAGTATGTGGTGGAATAATGTTTTAATAGGCCTTCTTCAGAGATATTCAGGGAGATCACTATGAAATATTTCAATTTTTTTATTATTATTATTATTTGTTTTCACAGCTTATTCTTACACATCTTTTTTTTCCTGTAGACTTGCCTTTAATTCTGCCACAACATAAAAACTTAAGTGATGTGAAGCCTCTTGAATAAACATATCATAAATAGATGTGATTGGATTGGATAGGATTATCATTTTCTATTAGATGATGGTGGTGGGACTGAGCTACCAGAGGAGTGATAGAAACACTTAGACTGCCTAGAAGACATAAGCATAGAGTAGATAGGAAAGTTCCTAAAATATATTTATGCTTACTTTTTTTTTTTTTTTTGTTCCAGTAAAATAGAGTATGTTTCCACTCAAGGGGAGAATAAAATAGTGGATTAGTTGTTGTATTGTGTACTGGCACAAACAAAAAATACTGTTGGTAGTAAATTGTCTAATCTAAAGTCATTTTGATTGAGACGTTTGATAACTGACTAATTATGGGAAATGCCTGATTATTTTTGACAAAAGGGTGAAAGAAATGGAATCTCAAACTTTTTTTAAATAATAATTTACAGAAATAGTAAAGATCACATGTACCGTATTTTCCGCCGTAAACGTCGCTCCGCCCTATAAGTTGTATCAGTCCAAATGTGTCAAATAAAGTGGAAAATCCATAAATATGTCACATCGCCGTATACGTCACATCTGTTATACGTCACCGCTGATGCATGGCGTTTGTTACGCATCGCCGCTGACAACCCAGAAATGTGGGCCGGTGTTGTGCCTAAAATCGATTGGCTGTCAAATGGCGGCTGCTGGGGCTTGCACGGGAGGACTTTAACAAGAATTTAACAAGATTAAAACTTAAAAACCATTATTTGTTTGCTCAAAATTATAGTAAAGGTGTGTCTCAGTCTAACTTTTGCTCAATAAATGCACTTTGACAATCAAATCAGCTGCATTTCAAAACCCGATTCATGGAAGCGGGCACACGAAGAGGGACAAGCCGTTGTTCATTTTTTCAAAATTTAACAAGATAAACACCTAAAAACAATTATTTGTTTGCTTGACTTTATGGTAAAGGTGTGTCTCAGTCTAACATTTGCTTAATAAAAGGACTTTAACTGTCAAATCAGCTGTATTTCAAAAATATTTGCTTCCTCGGGGTTCCCGGGAGTGCGCAGACGAGGAGGAAATTAGAAAAGAGGAATGCTGCTCGTTTTTTTTTTTATTTAACAAGAAAAGCCCCTAAAACAATTATTTGTTTGCTCGAAATTATAGCAAAGATGTGTCTCAGTTGAACTTTTACTTAATAAATGCACTTTTTTGGTCAATGGTCATTTCGCCAGAGTGGTGCGGCAAAATGAAGCTGATTTGACAATTACACCAAGCAGCGAACAGAACGAAGGTGGGGGGTTATGACAAGCCGATTGTGTCATTAATAGCTGGTGAAGATTCTCAGTCATCCAGGACATGGTAAATTCAAAAAAGTTTAAGACAAAAACTATAAAGTATAATAAAAGTCCAGTTGTTTTTTGTCTTGAACTTTTTGAATTTGTCATTATAGCCACTTTTACCTATTACATGATACAACAGCCTGCCTTACTACTCTGCTGCCATCTAGTGGCTGAAATCTGTAGTTTTCTTTTTTTTTTTTCAGTCAGAATGAATGAAATGGTCATATCTCAGCCAATATTGGTTTATAAATATGGGGGGGGGGGGGGTCATAAATATGTTGCTTATGCGTATAAGTCACTGGGCATGTAAATTATACAAAAAATCATTGCAAAATGCAAAAAGTCCTACTTTTTCATTTATCGTGGGTCTTCAGGGTACTGATCCCCAGCGATAAACGAGGGACTACTGTATTATGATTAGCAATAATACCAAACTTTTTCCATTTGGAACAATAAAAAAAAAAGGTTACATAGTTTTTATATAATAGGATAAAAATATTACATTTATGAGGTTTTCTTTTATTTATAGTAGGTGCAATTCATGCAGCTTTGTTCAGTGTTTAAAGGGTCAGGCAGTACCCCCTTTCCGTCCTCTTACATCACAAAGAGTTGGAGCATTCTGACCCCCAACACCATCATGAATGCATGTGTGGAGTTGGGGATGAGGAATTATTGGGTTTTGATTTTAAATTAAAGTTGTGGAATCTCACCAATGCCTTTGTTGCAAATGTTCACTAAAATGTTTTGAAGAAAATTCATGAATTGAGCTCGGACATTAGATTAGATGATATTCTGTCTTGTTTTGTTTTTTTTTACCACTCACTGCAGTTTGTATTCCTTGACAGGCCCTCCATCTTCTCCTCGTAATCTGATGTTTAACATGAACGACACTTGCCTTATGCTGGAGTGGTCCCCTCCCAATGACACCGGGGGCCGGAGGGACCTCTCTTACAACGTCCTGTGCAAACGCTGTGGTCCTGAGCCCAACCAGTGCCAGCTTTGTGAGGAGGAGCTCCGTTTCCTTCCTCGTCCACTGGGCTTGACCAACGCCACCGTCACTGTCATGGACTTCTCAGCGCACGCCAACTACACCTTTGAGATTGAGTCCCAGAACGGTGTGTCGGACCTGAGTTCCTTCCCTCGGCAGGCGGCCATCATCACTGTCAGCACAGATCAGGGTGGTGAGTGTGTAGTTTTGTTGTTTTTACCACTGGTAAAGAGGTCTGTAGGTAGTGTCCACTTCACCACAAAAATCTGGACACTACCTACAGACCTCTTCCTGCTACTGTCACACCTCTCTTCATACCATTTTTTTCTCATGCCACGATGTATGGTCTATATTAAGTTAAACAAAGCTCTGTAGTATTTATTTTAAAAGCAAGTGTCTGAACATGAACGCATCTTCACTTGTTTACACTGCTTTACATTTTAGCACACCAAATACTGTTTTAAAAGCTTGTGATGTTTTATGCCATAAATCTCTTCAACTGTTTATATATTTTGCATATTGTCGAACCTAAAAAGTGGAAAAACGATTTCAGATTTTATGTTATAAAGTTATAAAGCATTATGCTGCTATTATAGATTGAAGAAACCTAACAAAACCTTAAGTAAAAGTAACAAAGGCTCACACGTGCAGTAAGATGACTCCATAGAAAGGGCAAAGGTCAGCAGATGCCTCCTTCTGTTTACATTTGATTAAATTCAGTTCATTCATTGCTGATTCACATCAAAAGGTAAAATGAGCCATCCGCATGTGAGAAACTCAATAATTACCTCTGAAGAAGCACACCCAATAATGGTGAAACACCAGCAAATAATAATAATAATAATAATTTAGGATTATGTCCACTGGACCTGAGATTAAAGAAAGAGACACCAAAAAACAACAGACACTGAGCAGGTTGATCAGCCACTAACAGGACATAAAATAAATGCTACATGAGCAAAGATACCTGAAGAAAATCAAAAGTAGAGAAAATGTGATGGAAGAAAAGGACAGAAAGGAATTGAGATATTTATATTTATATATATATATATATATATATATATATATATATATATGAGTATTAATGAGATGTGACATTGTTTTATATAAGCATTTACCGTACAAGTGCATGACGCCTACAGGAAGTCAGCAAGCTTTGCTGGTAGGAATAATTTTTAAGTGCTATAGGATATAACCTGTAGGCCAAACATGGGCAAGATTATGAGAATGAAAGTATCACATGAAATATTTCATGAAAGAAGCTTAGAAAAATGTTAACAAGTAAATCAAACACCACATTCTTGGTTATTTTGTTTTCTCCACAAACTAATGTCCAATAGTTAATACTGGATTCATCTTCTTTCTTTTTTTTTAACAATATTTTAGTTACATAGCTGAAGCATCAAAGAGTGAGAAAAGTGAGCTTCTCTAAGTTTTTATAAGTTTGCATTCCTGTCAGATATCATCTATCATTAATATCCTTATGTAATTGAAGTTGTATGTGTTGAAGAAAAGCAGTTTTGTTTCTTTTTCCACAGCTGTGGTTAACAGCAGGGGTTCACAAGATGGTCCTATCCACCCGTTTTTCCTCATACCAGAGAGTTGTGCTTCAAAGCCATTATTTCCTGTGAGACATTCTTGAGTTTAGCAGCTTATTTTTTATAATTTGGAATTTGCAAACTGTCTTTTCTCCTCCTTCCTCTTCTGCCATCCTTTAACTGACTATTCTCTCACCACCACCACCACCCCTTGGTTATTTGTCCTCCTCCTTCCTTTTCCTCTCGTGTCTTGTTTCCAAATATGTTTGTTTCATATTTGTCTTTTGTTCTCTTCGTCTCCTCCCTACCCTCCATCTCTCTATTGCTGTGAGCATCTGGGAGAAATACATTTCTCATACAGCCAAAACACATTAGATGCATTATTCTGCATCACTTGGGACAACTCTAGATAGTGCATGCGACTCGGTGTTACACGCAGACTTTTTATTTGATTAACATTCCTTGTTTAGAACACAGTCAAAGAAGGTCCCAGGGCTGCAGACGAGACCCATTTGAACACTTATATAGCCAGCTGCTGCTATTTAAAATCCTCGAGGGAAGACGCAGATTTATGGCCCGCTGCCGGTGATAAACAGCATAATGCTGTTCTTTTTTCTCCCTATTACATTGTCATACAGCAGACTTTGATCACTGTTGTTAAATGTAAGGCAAATCATGACAGGCTATTGAGCGTGTAGCTGGTTTTGCTGGATGTAACATGCAGTCCTGCTTGTGTGTCGATCAGAAAAAAGTTTTAAAGTGTCACTTTTATTTTACAGCTCTCTTCTTGAGTTTTGTGGCAGGTGTTGCAGCAATACCATATTTTTTGGACTATAAGGTGCAATATCAATGAACGGGTCTGTTTTCATACATAAAGCACACTGGATTATAAGGCGCATTAAGCAAAACTAAAACATTTTGTCAGATTTTTGAGCACTGTGTACCACATAAAATTGGTTTGAGGTCAATAAGCACAACCAGAATTAATACATAAGGCGCATGGATTATAAGGCTCACTGGTGATTTTTGAGAAAATTAAAGGCTTTTAAGTCCATCTTATTGTCTGAAAAATATGGTAAATATTGAGTCAGTGAATGAGCTGAATCTTCTGTCTTGCAAGTTTACTTTCTAGCATTTAGCATCTTATTGTAAGTTTGATTACAGTTGACTATTGTTTAGGAAGGTGGTGCCCAATGTTGGTCCTCATGGGTCCTGCGTGTTTTAGATGTTTCTCTGCTTTGATATAGTGTTGTAGTTCTCAAGACCGGTCTTGGTCTTAAGACCGGTCTCAAGACCACTTTTTGATGGTCTCGGTCTTGTCTCGGACTTGACCGCATTTGGTCCCAGCCTTGTCTCAGTCTCGCACATCGAGAACTCTAGATTTTATTCCAAGACCAGTCAAGACCACAACTGTGGCTATATCACTAAATTGCCAGAATCTTGTCCAGTTTATTTGTTAACATCTTTGCTTTTATTGGATGCAAATCTTACTGGTTCAAATCCAAGTGATAACGTGACTAAATACATTTTTTTGTTACCGCTGTCATGCCCATCCACTTTCACAGATTGGATGGTTTAATGCCTACTGGGCAGTTTTCATTCTGATTTTGCTGGGAACTCTGGGAAGATTTATGTTGGATTGTTGCCTTTTTACACATATTGTTAAATTACGTTGGCTTGTACTGATGTGTGTTCATGTTCAAACTGTAAATATACAGGTACTGTTACAATATATTGATTGGGCAGATTTTTGTCTGATGTGGCGGTTTTTAACAGATTTTTGGGCTGGAAAACCTCGACTCTATCTGGCAACACTGGTCACTCCAAGAAAATAATTGTCTGGGTGCAGGAGAAGATGTCTGCCAAATCATCAGTTATAAAATTTATTTCTATTTAAATCACAAAAAATATATTTGTAACAAATGCAACTATATGGTTATCCTTGGTCTTGAGTTTGGATTTATGAAGATTGTTTTGCCACTGCAGTTTTTTAAGACTTGCATGTGATGAAACTGCTTCCATTTTAACAGTTGTGTAATTTTATTGTTGAATCACATGAAGTTAGGCCACTGAATGTCTGATTTCTTTGTTATGTAACTTTGAAAATGTATAAAAGCTGATATATTCATTCAAAAGCAAACTTAAAGTTGCAGTATGTAACTTATAAAATATGTTTTATAAAAAAATGTTATATTTTATTTATTTTATTTGAGGTCTTAGTCTCAACTTGGTCTCGTCCTACCTCGGTCTTGGTCTTGACTTCGTCTCGGACCCTAAAAGTCTTGGTCTTGTCTCGGTCTTGGTACACTCTGGTCTTGGTTTTGACTTGGTCTTGGGTTAGGTGGTCTTGAACACAACACTACTTTGATATGCCTGATCTAAATGAATGAGTGATTGCCAGGCCACTGCAGAACTTGGAGGCATGCAGAAGAGCAGAGAAACAGGTAAAACATGCAGGATAGTGGCCCTTGAGGACCAGGACTGGACACCATATCTTGAGGTAGATCAAGATGTTGTGATACTAAAAGGTTGCCAGATTTCTCACTGAGTTGAAAACTATCTCACAAAATAAAATAAAAAAAACAACAAAAGTGTCATTTAAGTTGTTGTTAGCATGACTTTCAGGTGAACGTGGTGCTGAAAATGTTTATTTCACTTTAAATTGTTGGTGTGACACAGTTCACACAGACATGTTAAGCACAAGGACCAGTGCAACACGACACTCAACTGCAGCATTCCCACCTTTTCCCACCCTTCCTGTTGAAGGCTGCTTCATGCTGAGAGGTCTAGTTTCTGTTGGTGCACACATGTTTTAAAAACACAGCAGAGTTCACACTATTTGTCGACTTTGAAGCTGAGAAAATACCATTTGAACCTTGTTAATTCATTTGCACTGAAAGGAAAAAGAGTCAGTCAAAACTTTGAGGTGAATGAAGCAGTGATTAAACAAATTTGACACTACTATTTACTGACTGTCCCCAAGCTCCTGCTCAAGGAGTTTCACTCTAATGTCCTCCAGTCAGTCCTGAGAATTTTCATGACCCAGACTTTCACAAGTCTGTCAGTCAGGCAGTGTCTGCCTGAATTTATTGTATACAGATTGTCTTTTTGTGCTTTCTTCTGAAAATGTGTGGCGATATACTGTATTTCTAATTGTGTTGTAGTTGTTTAAAGTTTTTAACATTTTTTTGAATAACCTTTAATAAAAATGTTTTTTTTTAGAAACAGTAAAAATAGGTGATAAAACAAAGAAACATAAGAAATTTGTACGAATTGTTTACTTAAACAAATTACAGTAAACTTTATTTGTTCTGACTTGTAAATATGATATACTGTAGTGGAATAAATGGTAAGTGCATGCTTTTGTAAGAAAGTATTGACATATCTGTAAAACATAGCAAATGCATTTATTTAGCAAGAAAATGATGTTTAAACAAACAGCCAATCTGTTTTATTATTTTATTTTGACCTCTTGTACAAATGAGTTTGTCACCCCTGAAAAGGTCAGAGGACTTCAGTTAGACATTAGAAGGTCATGCATGGTTAAAGAACCGTTCTGAGGTCCAAAGAGACTCATTAGAAACCAGTCAGGAGAGAGGACAAGCAGTTGAGTTTGTGCCAAAACCTTCTTTTTTAAAATGTGTTCAGATCTGGT